AGCTTCCTACTTTGACTTTTCCTCATTTTTGGTGGAAGCTTGAATTTCTGGGTATGCTTGTGTGCCTTTGAATTACTGGGTATGCTTGTGTTTACACTGTTGCCTTTATGAACTATGTGGCCACTTTATGTGATCAATTTCTGAGAATATGTGGGTTTGAATATGTGGGTATGCTTCTGTTTACACTGCTGCCTTTATGAACTATGTGGTCACTTTCTGTGATGAATTTCTGAGAATATGTGGGTTTGAATCTGTTTACACTACTGCTGCCTTTATGAACTATGTGGCCACTTTCTGTGATGAATTTCTGAGAATATGTGGGTTTGAATATGTGGGTATGCTCATGCTACAGTGTTGGGTGTGAGAAATGTAAGGCCATTTTCTGTGATGCTTGGCTGAGAATTTATAGTCCTACCATGATGAGCATGTTTACACTTAAACTGACTCTGAGTAGTGAATGGTGTGGCCAGATAGTCCTAGTATTTAAAAACTCATCAATGATGATATGTGAATACAATTTGGAATGTCATATGTTGATTGTCATTTTACATAGTTACATATAGAGCTTTTAGGGTGTTGTTGCCTTGATGTCAGTACACAACTCCCATAACCCAACAGCCAAAACCCAAAAAACAAATGTGGCTAGCATTTACAATAAGCAAAACCCAAAAAAGCCCCCGTCTGCCTACCATTTACGTAAATGAAAACCAAAACATGGTAAGCAGTTACAAAAACCCAGATTGGTAACCACAATCCAAAAAAAACAGTGCCTTTGAAGTGTGTGTTCAGTTCATGTCTGAAGATAAGTACTGATCTGCATCTTCAGTGCTGAACTCAACCATCTTTTCATTAGTTGTAAAAATCTGATCTCCAACCAGTGTTGCTGCCTTTTCAATTAAGGCTTGGTCTATGTTCAAACATTTGGGCAGATTCCCTTCTCTGGCTAGTCTATCCTTCCCCATGTGTGGCAATTTGTAGTTGTTGTTGCCTTCATGTTCCATTACTTTAGTCATTACTTGTTGGTAAGACAACCAAACCTTGTTTAGACATTCTGGACTCAGGGCATTATATGCTCCCTCAACAGCCTCTATCAACTCAACCACAGTAGTTGGAGCACACTGATCCTTTAAGGACTGGATGGCTCTAAAGAACCCAAGATCTAGCACATTTAAGTCTGGAGAGTTGGGAGGTTGATTGTTTAGAGTTATGTGAAACCCATTTCTGTTTGCTGCTGCCATAAAGTCACAGTCCACTCCTTGAATATGTGGCCTTGCATTATCTTGCTGAATATGTATGTCTTTTGACATCTGTGTTGGCCATTTTTCATGTATTGCTGGAATAACTGTGTTTATCAGCATGTCCTTTGTTACTTCTTTGGTAACACTGGTAATTGGTTTAACCTCCATAACTCCTTTTGGCCTATTCTTGCTCTTCCTTTTGGCTCTTAAATTTTCTGTGAAACTGAAAATGCCAATCTTGCCATCCCATAACACTTCTTGATTTTCCCCAAACAGTGGTCTCCCAACCACACAGAGAAACATTACTTTAGCAATGAACCTTTTTGATTTACAGGCCCTATATGGGTCCAGTTCATCAGGGAGAAGGTAAAACTTTTGAGACGTTTTGGACATAAAGAACCATTTCTCATCAATGTGTAAAACATTCTCAAAAGTCTTAAACCTAGGGTGCATTGGCATGGTATATGGGTCAACCTGATCTAGACAGAACCTCAACCTTGAAATTTTATTAGCATCTGAAAGGTACGGTTTAATAGCATTAGAATGGCTCCTAAGCATACCTTTTTTAATCCACTCATGCACAGT